TATGTTAGATCAGGCTACTACATGCCAAAAGACACTTATCGGTTGCATTGGAAGCATCAGAATCTGTATTACAAGGTAATTTCCAAACTAAACTGAAGTCTTGATTTAGAATAGTTGGTTAAAGACTCAAGGAAAAACACAAAACAGATTTTAAAAGAAAAAAGCCACAGTGAAATTTCTTTGAACATTTCAAAATAAGCTATTGTATTTTAACCAGTTTACTTTGTGCTCTCTAAAATAAGGATGCTACTTGAACATTTTTGTTTGTTTGTTCCTTCTACTAAAGATGTGCTTTCTCGTAGAACGGCCTGAGTTTACTTTTATTTCTGCAAGGTCAGCATAATATCTCTTTTCAGAGGTGCTTAACTCACATTAACTACAAGCCAAGAGCTTAAGTGAAAGTGTGCTAAATACATACGGGCCAAAATCAAAAGTAAGAAAGGTGAAACAATGTCTAAGCTAAGCACCAGAATGCCTTGAAAATAACAGTGGCATAACTTTGTAACAGCTTATTTAATTTGGGTAGGAATGTACCCACACTGTATTTGCTACAAGTAAACTTGCCCTGTACTAGGATAAGTATTTCCTACAAGAATGGAGGCAGTACTCAGAAGTTAGGTATTTTGAAATAAAAGCCTTTAGATGCAAGGTGTCTTATTGCAAAGTAATCACTAGTATAGTTTTAGGTTAAGGTTTCTTTTAATAATTTACCTACTATGCAGTTAACTTCAACATCACCAATTTCATAGTCATTGAGCATATGATTTTAATGTGATCTATAAAGGTGGTCTGTGTTTTAAACTAATGCTATTTAGTTATGAAGCCATTTCATTATTGAGTAAACTAACGAAATTAGGTGACTTGGAATAATTATAAGCCATGAAGATGCACAAAATTGGATACCAGATCACCCAATGGATCTAGTCATGAAAGGTTATGAAAGGGGCGACTCTTCTCAGCAAGAGTCTAGAAAAGGAATAGCCTTGAACAACTGACAGCATTATAATTTAGAGCAGCAAGAACATTAATAGGAGACGTTCCAATGGGTGGCGGGAAAGTGGCTCCACCATCTTCAATACATTATACGGAGACCATAATGAAAACAAAACAACAACAAAAAAAGCAGTTAGAAATGAACAGACCAAAGCATGATGGTACTGAAAGTTTAGACAGCCCCATTACTATGAATGAAAGCAAATACAGTGATGTTAGCAGTAAAAAGGATCTCCAAACACCACATGACTGCCCCTATAAATTTGTTGAGAACAAGTTAGGGAATAACCTGATCTGTGAATCCAGTGCAGAAAACTCAGAACTTGAGCTTGTGAAAAGCAACTGGAATAATCTCGAAATAGTTAATTAAAAAATGACCCAATACACGGAGAGAAAGTTGCTGATAAACAGCTCTTCTGGAAAGTACAGAAAAGCAAAGTTTGCTATTATTTGGATATAACAGCATCAAGGAAAATGTAGGAATTCAAAAGAAAGAAAAGAATTACAAGCCTACTTATTTGGATTTGAAGATCAGCACAAAGCAGGACAAAATTCACACTTTTCTGAAAAGTAAATGAGCTGGTACCAAACATATATAAAAGGAGAGAACACAGGATTCATAACCTCAGCTAACCAAGTTTAGGATGATGGCAAATGCAGTTATGTGGAAATCCGGAAAGGTTCATGTAACTAGCTCAGTGGGTTAAACAACAACCCTTCAATCTTTATGAGTTTTCCCAGGGCAGAGCATTTTCTGCTCCATCCTTGCCCAAATATTTCTTTGGTAGTGGCTGGAGCTTAGAGCTACTTCTGACAGCATATCTGGAGAACAGTCACAGCTGAACAGAAAACGGTGACTTACTGGGGTTTTTTTGCTCCTTTCCCTCGCTAAGCAAATAACTTCCACCGGGAGAAAAAAGAAAAACAAGCTATATGTGGTCCAAAGAAGCCAGGTGCTGTGCAAGTTTTCTTTTCTGATATGGACTAACAATTCATATCAGTTCTCCTTTAATACCTAGCTTCTCACATCTATCAAATTACACTTCAGTTAGGTAACTGCATTACCTGAAAAAAAGTTATCCAAATTAAGGACAAACATTTATCTCCAATTTCTCCCAAAGCACAAATTCAACAGTGGTATCAATCTGCCTCTTTGAAACTACATAGCTTCTTCTGTAATCTACCAAAAACTGTAGAAGGGATAGCTAGTGCTGAGAAGTAAATATTTGCAGTGCCACTTGAAGTGCTAGTTTTAGGGCCATGCTGGTAACAAAACACCCTTACTCTTAATGTCTTTATAAATTAACAGGGTTTGGCTTCCTTTTTAGGCAAGGGTTTTTTGATTGTAATCAGTCTAACCTAAGTGGCGGGAAAAAACTTTGTAAAAATAAAAACTGAACGCTCTAAGAGGAAATGGCTTGAACAGATTTTTAGACAATGGTAGGAGTTTCCACCTATAAACTGTTCTCAGTGTGCATACAGGTAGTTCTAAATATTCTAGCTCACTATTTTAAACTCCTCTTGTGAGGCATGAGGGTAGCATCAAACATTTGAGCCGAGGCTTACCCAACAGATGCCCACATATTGTGTGACAGCAATGAGTTAGGAAAAAGGAATTGAAAAAAACCATTCATGAAGCAGAATGGCAAATATGGAAAACACACCATTATTTAAACGATTCAAATGATATTGGCAACCATATCAAGACTAACGGTTTCAAAACTGTAAATATGATTATGGAAAATCGCACAGGGTTAAAAGGTTTAGTTTGCAAAAAATTAAATAAGTACATAAGGTATTTCTGTTCTCTGACTTGGTAATATTTTCTTAATACACTGAATGACAGATTTAAATGCATTGTGTCATTGAAAACAAGCTAGATAAAACGAACTAGTATTGGACAGTCACGTGTACAACAAAAATATTTGGAGTAAGTTTGTGCCAGCAAATCTTAGAAGGAAATAAAAGTTTGATAGCATAATAATACAGTCTGATAGTACAAACCGGTCCATATAAATCAAGCAAAAAATGAGACTCTGCCACAGACTATATGGGGGAAATCTAGAGAACGTGTTCAGATATTACACTGCTGAGGGATAAAGAAACAGGAAATCAGACTATATTCCAAAACTATGACTACCTGAAGGAAATCCTCTGATGTAACACACACTTTAATGACTGCCTTGATGAAAATCTGACCACAGAATCCAAACAAAGGATGACAAAATGTATTACAGTTTGTGAACAAAATTCAGTCATTCCCTTTAAAGGAACTACGGACTAGCTTCATTCATACAGGCCTGAACCTCAGAATTGCAGAAGAGGCTACTTGAAACAGCAGTTAAACACTTCAGACATGCTCCAGACTGCTCAAACAAAATGCCTGAGCATATTCTTGACAGCTTTGTTTCTTTTGCATTGACAACTCAGAGCTGTTCACTACAACAACCCCCGGTAAGTGAACTAGTCCATTAGATAAGAGTACGCATAGAAGAAGTACCCTTGATTCCTCTTGATCTGCGATAGTGAAGAGCCACACTGTAGAAGGGGATCTGGTATAGCCCACTCACACTCTTCAGTCTCAAAGTCAACACCTGGTATAGGGCATCATCATGAGTGATCTAGTATTTGAACACCAGTATCATCACATAACATTCATAGGCAGTACATTTTCCTTTCGTAAGAAGTCTTACCTGCAGCCCTTCAAACTTCCACATGTGGCTGAGGACACATGAAGCCCAAACTACTCTCTAAATACCTGTAGCTTGCTAAAACCAAAATTTTTAGCTCAGACTGGGAAGGCTACAAGTAGAGCTATTCATGTAAGAACCAGCAAAAATGAAGCACACAGACTATATTAAAAAGAGAGTCCAGGTGCATTCATATAAATACTTTAACAGGTCAGAGAACTCAGAAAAACTCAACATGTAATTTATGGGACTTTATATGCCCTTCTGTAGAAATACACCAACTCATCACTAACTTTCCACATGATTAACATAAACTTAGCTTCAACTGCTTGGCTGAATAAAGTGTTCAGCTTCTCAGGTAGGTTTGTAAAGAACAATTCCAAGGTATTCAACTATTATACAGTACCTAGAAGTAGTTAATTTACAGACAGTTCAGATGTTTGCATACTTTTCAAATTTTGACTGCAGGTATGGGCATGCGTGCAAGAGACTTTCCTCACTAATTACACCAACTCCAGTCTCCAAGATGTTTGGTGGTTATCCTAACTGGATCTACAACAAGATCATCATAGAATGGTTTGGGTTGGAAGGAACCTTAAAGACCACCTCCGTCCAACACCCCTGCCATGGGCAGGGACACCTTGCACTAGACCAAGGTTGCTCAAAGCCTCATCCAACCTGGCCTTGAACACTTCCAGCTTCAAAAAAGCATACTTCAATAAACTATTTAGATAAACATGGTTATTTTATAGAAATATATCAAGATGATCACAAATCTTGGTTAAGTTTGGGTTGACCTAGTCAGAGCCCTGTTATGCAGGGGGTATTTTGCCAAACCCAATTTTGGTTGATAACACACAGTTGAGAGTAACAGCTTTCATTAGAACAGGTTCATGCCCTTCACTGTTAAGAAGGGGAAAAACTAATAATCAATTTAAGAATTAAAGCATGACAAAAAGCAGATGCTTTTTTTGAACAAACATCACATGATTTCCTATGTCAGAAGTAGGGGAGGGAAATATCTAAAAATGACTGATCACCTACTTCAAAAGGCAGTAAAATTGCTGAGTTGCAGAAGTAGACCTTATAACCTGGACGGATGAAGAAATTGTGCTATTTCTTCTTCTGTAACCTGACAGAATAAATCGAGCAGTGTAACGGGACTCATGGCAAAGAGCTGGGGGAGGGGTGTAGCTAAAAGAGTTAAGAAACAAAGAAATGGGAAGTTATCATCTCATGACTATTACTGCTAAAAATCTGTCTTTAGAAAAAAAAAAAAAAATGGGGGGGGGAGGTGTGCGAGGGGAATTAAATTACCTGAAAGTCATCATAAGGAAACAGTAGCATCTCACGTAAAGCATCATTCAAGATCTGCGTTTTCCTCTGAACGATGACATTTTCATAGTCTATTGGTTCTATGAGCTTTGGTTTTGCCTAGGGAAACCAGAAAAAAAAACAAAGAGGAAAATAAATTCAGGTATATTGAGGAAAAATTACAATTGTTGACTCATTTTAAGAAATTACTCTTTAAAAAATTGGCAGAATGAGATTTCTTCTACATTGAAAAACTTACAGAATGTCACACTGTACCATATGGATAAACACAACTGACAATTACAGAGACAAGCATGCTATTTGCCTCAGAAAGAAGAAACAGAACTATTTCACAAAACACACTAAGTCTGAGCTTATCAGAATAATCATGTATGTATTCTCACTGCAAAAAGTTTATAAAGAAATGACTAGTCTCTTATGTTGGTGGTTACCTTTGCTTGATACTGCCCAGAAAGCTCCAATCTGGGTTTAGAAGGGATTAAAACAATCTTAGCTCAAAGCTACGACTGAGCTTTGTTTTAATTCAGTAGTAACCTGCAGTAGGAGTAGGCTAATTGACATTCCTCCTTCTCCATAGTTTTTTCAAAATTCCAGTAGGGCATCTGCTTCCTCTTAATTGCACGAGTAGCTTTCTTCAATTACTACGCATTGATTCAACATTTAAACCCTATACCGCTGTTAAGGCGTGCACAGAGAGAGAAAAACCTTCACCCTGTCAAGCATTCTGTTAAGTGGTCAGATGGCAAAGGAGGTTTAGAGCGAGCTCTCAAGGAGGCAGCATTGCCTCGGAGGGTGCAAACTAAGGCAAAGCTGGAGTTATAATTTAGCTCGCGCTTGTTGCAACTAAAATTGTGCATCACAGTATCAGACATAAAATTACCTTATTTTTTCTTTTACAAGTGTCAATTACAAGAGATTTTCCAATTGATACTTTCTTAAGATCAGTGGCACTAACTTCAAAGTATATTAAACGTAAGAATAGCAGCAAGGCCAGCTTATGCCATCATTATAGGTAATCAGACAAGATGAGATTGATACATATTTTTTGCATCACTTACGTTAATAACCTTTCAAATTCCAGCTGTACTACACAGAAGAAATACCTTTACGTCTAGCAGTAACTGCTATTAATCATTAGTATACTAGTAATATTCCTGAGAAACTTTACAGGTGTTCTCTTCATCCAAAAATGAATCAAATAAATTCATTTTTTCAAGCTTTAATCAGAGAAAGTTACAAAAGTTTTCAGGCTTAGTTACAGGCTACTCAAAAGTTACCCGAGATTCTCTCGTATCTACCATGTGGCAGTTTTACTGTCAAGAAAAATGCAAGAATGTAACAGAGCATAACAGCTGAAAAGGCCAGAAAAGCAAAGTCTGGAAAAATAAATCTATCAAAAAATGGTGAGTGAAACATAGCTTTGTCAACAAAAATAGCTATCATTTACAATCACGCTGGAAGGATTTACTAAAAGTTCACGAGCTCTACACAGACCAATACAGCGAGGAGCCACAGTGGAAAATGATTATGTTGAGCTTGCCACCTTTCTCCTCAGAGGAGATGAGGAACAGCTGTTCTGGTTGCTCTGTATTGTACCCCAACACATTTCGAGAGCTTAGCACCTGAACCACAGCTGCTGCTACATCTTCTCCTCTCGTTCATGAACATGGCTTATCACAAAGCCAAGAACTAACACCAGTGTCCATCAGAAAAGGCTTAAGTTTATGTTCATGCACCCATCGGTAGCTGAAGTGGTTGGACCATTTAGGTCAGAAAAAGCCTAAGAGAAGCACGTAAACACAACATAAGAAAAGGTTACATTTTCTCTAATGTACTAATAACACAAAATATTTTAGTCACAAGAAAGCTTTCTGTTAAGTTTGCCTTTGAGTATTCAGACTGCTGCAAAGAACCCCAAACTACTGAAACAGTGTGCTCCAAGCTGCTTTAGTACACAGAAGGTCAGATGCACCTTCTTCACCCAACTATTTGAAACATTTCCTAGATGCAGGCTCTACCAAATTGCCCCTTCACAAAATTTCAGGTTGAGCAGCTCCACTGCGCCAGATTGTCATAACCAGTTCTGATTCCAAAGAAACTCCAGTAACTTCACCTACCCTCTTCAACTCTTCACCAAGGCAATAGCTGTCCAGTATAAGTTTTCTTCCTTAAGGACATGAGACAGGGATAACACAGAGTATGAAGAGCCCTTCAAATTCTACTGCTCCGTAAATGAAGCACATGCCAACACTTACCATTCAGAAAGCAAGATGCCCTTTGCTCACCTTTCTCCCACTTTCAGGGCAAGTAACAGGTCTCTCTCTACTTACCCGGGCAAACAAGATGCCCATCTGTCAATCACTGAGCTTGAGCTCTTGTGCAATATACTTCTATGTTAAAACAAGGTTTAGAGACTAGTACGGTACTACAGCCAAGTCACTCCATCTGGTCAAGTTGGTCTTTACCACATGACCATTCCTTCTGAAGACTTTGTCCTGAGAAATGACATGCAACGTGCTGCAGTGATAGGGTGATTTGAATGTGCTGCAGGATGACTGACCTTGAGAAGAAACAAAAATAAATACTCCAAATTAAACCGGGTCTAAGAAATGGGAGGGGGAGAAAGACGGTTTAAGTTGTGTATAAAATCAGTCTCTTGTTTAACTAAAGATTTGGCTTCACAATTGGGTTTAATTAATGGAAAGGAGGGCTGACACTAAGAAGGACCCTCTCTCTCTCCTGGCACGTTCCTGAGCCTTCTCACATTAGTACCAGCAACTGAGACAGAGGTTTTGAGCCAGATTAGGAGGTGATCTAGCTTTAGAGGGTTCCTCCCAACCAGTGAGCTTTCAGCCAGATTGTCTTTCTGAAATGTTGATCAGATGGCTGCATGGCCACTTGTGCCAATAGATCAGAGCTGATGGGATCCTTTCAGAAGCCGGAGAGACTCAGATTACTAAACAGAACATTAAACTCTGTCTTTATTAACAGCCGTTGCAAAAGCATTTTTGAATTCTGATACTCAGTTTCAGTGCAGTTCACAAGTTCTAAAATGTCCTTAAAAAAAAAAAAAAAAAAATATTTCATGAACTGGTAGCAAGGGAAAGCTATCATCTCAAATGGGCAATGGATTTTTATGTGGTGCTGCATATGATCAGCGTTTTCAACCATTTCTCCCTGGTGCTGAAGAGCTACATCCATCCTCCTGTTAATTCTCATAGGAAGGTGACAGGTGAAGACTGGAAGAAAGCCAGCTCTGGCTCCTCTCATTTTACCAACAAAAATAGAGGAAAAGGATTAAAGCCAACGTAACTAAAATTATTTCATGGGCACACATGCACAAAAATCACTTCCCTAGCACAGCTAATTCAAAAACCAAAGATGCATGTACTGCAGCTTCAAAGAACATCCAATTCATTGCAAATGCACATCCCTACCCTACAGCCACAAAACAGGTCCACCACAATCATAAAATTGATAAAAAAGAATCTTAAAGGAAAGTGAGCTTTGCTTACATTTTGCTTACATGCTGTAAACACAAGATTAAAAAAGAATCCTCCCTCATTAGAAGCTTTTAAAGCATCTGAAGCTCTCTGGAGCTGATGTCTTGAATATACACCTCTCTTCTAAGTCAACAGCACACAGAGGTAGTTAGTGGTTAGGAAATCATACCATCTTCCTATTTAATCTGTAAAGTGCCTGATTTGTAGAAATATAATTTCTGTAAAAATTCCTGAAGAATTTGCTTTCTCGGGTTTCTCCAAAGCGTTACTCATTTCTTTCTTAGCCATTTGTCAGATTCAAAAGGAAGAGGATGTTTTATCAGTTTGAACCAGATATGAAAAAAGAAAACAATAAACAGCACTCTGACGTTGGCATTTAGCCAAACCTACACCATCAAAAGGAAGCAGATTCTCTCACAAGCTCTTCCACAAAAAAAAAGAAAGAGATTTTCTGGTCTATTATTTCAGGTGATATAAAAGACAAGCTGCTGGGTAGGTACAGTATTGTTGAATATGATTTATGAACCAGTTGACACAGATAAAACTCAGTCCAGTCAAAATTGCAAAATCAAGTTTACAGGCACTAAAAGTCAGTCTTACAAGCAAGGCTTAACTTTTCCTATTAATTTGCAGCAAATAACATTTTTATTTCCGTAATCTAAGGAAATGCTAAAAGCATAGGGCTTCATGGGGTCCAGCACTCAAGCTAGCCAATGCTGTATTTCTAGGAAGATAAACCAGCAAAGTATCTGCCATACGACTTTGGGTTTTGACAGTATATTATAGGTACGGCAACTTATCAGAAACAAGAAGTATTTCAAAACAGCAGTCATCACACACGGTAACCATTTTAATCTGCCAGAATATGGTTTATATATCTGGACAAGCAAGACCAAAATCCATCAGATAAAAGGAGTTTTAAGATAGGAGTTCAATGATTGCCTACATTATAAATTACAGAAAAAAATAATACAGTATCCTTTTTTCTTGTATGTTTAAATTGAGGCGTATGTTCTCTTCCTCTTGCCTTCTCACAAAACAAAGGATGGTCAGGTTAAGCACATCGAGTATTGCTAGCTCATGCTACAAAATATCATCTACCTTATAAAAACTTATGTAGCACATACATCTGCAAATTAACAAGTCCCCATAAAAAGCAGAATGGAGCTACAAGCACTACCAGGCAACACAGCATACAATTTACGAATATATAGTCTTATGTATTTCTCAACCTTGGTCTGAGGCAAGCCACTTTGGACAAATAAGACTATTTAATACTAAACACGGGTAACAGCTCCCCGTATCTTATTGTCCCACAACCACAATAAACTCAAATTGCCCAGGTTGAGTTATTTTTCAATCAAATAAAAAACCCATTCAAAAAATTCTATGTAATTCATCTAGAGCTTATTCTTAATTACTACATTACTCATTATCCCCTTTCTTAGCTATGGTTAAGTTTGGGATGTAAACTTTGAGGCAGTGGGAGGGAATAAGCTGCTATAGGTTTATGTAAAAAACCTACCACTATGCATATATTTAGCAACAGTATGCTTACACTGACAAATTCAAAACTTCAAAAGAATGAAATGCATT